CAGGATTGGGGGCTGGGGGGGGGGGTGCACGAGTGTTATGATTCTGTGGCCAGATGGGAGCTTGGCCCCAATTTGGGGCTTGTTGGCCCCCAAATAAAATATTATATCCAAAACAAAATGTTTCAGCGTTGTCTTTATTTATGGGAGGGCCGGGGAACCTGTTTTGGGTCAGGATCATTGACGCACACAAGTGAGAAGAAAAAAAAAACTCCTCCAAAAACCCTCAGCCCTCACTGATGTGGCCCCACCTGAGACACCTCACTCCCCTGGCGCTCCAGCCCCATGGTGGGGGGGAGGGGAGGTAGGACTGAGATTCAAGGCCTCAGGCCAGATTAACTCTTCTGGAGTTCCAGGGTTAGTGGAATTTGTGGGCCCCTCTACACTCTGAGGTGGGGCCAAAAATAAGGGATCCAGTGTGCAGGACAGGGCTGCCAGTGAGTGGGATAGGAATGAGGGTGCAGAATCTGGGTGGAAAATAGGGTACAGGAGCAAGGTGGGGGGTAGGTGTCTGGCCAGGAGGGGGAAGCCAGAAGCAGGGTGCTGGTGGATGTTTGGCTGGGGTTAGGAGCAGGGTGCTGGTTGGTGTCTGGCCATGAGGCAGGGGCAGGGAGCTGGATGGTGTTTGTGCAGAGTGCTGGATGGGGGTCTGGTCAGGGGCAGGGTGCTGGTGGAAGCCGGTGTGCTTCCTGAGAAGTCAGATCTGGTGCGCAGCTGGGGATTTCCTTCCCCGAGCAGCCTGCCTACCTTTATGTGTGGGGGGAGGGGTGGGAGAAGTCCCAGGGCTGCATGCCAGATCCGACTTCTCAGGAAGTACACCTATTATTGTGGTGAGGGGAGGAGCAATGTGCGTGCTTCCTGAGAAGTCCGATCTGGTGCGCAGCCCCGGGACTTCTCTCCCCTACCCCTGCTGCAGGAAGGCCAGCAGGCAGGCAGCATAGGGAAGGAAGTCCCCAGCTGCGCGCCAGATCTGACTTCTCAGGAAGCGCACTGGCTGTTTTGGGGAGGGGAGGAACATCGCATGTGCTTCCTGAGATGCCAGATCTGGCGCACAGCTGTGGGACTTCTGTAGCCAGACATGAACCCCATCTTGTCCC